TATCTCTTTGGCATGAGTAAACATACCTTTCTTTGCTGGTACCTGCACATCGAAGGCATCAATTAGTTTCTGTCGAATTGTAAGTGTATCGAACATACAAGTTTGATAAAACTTAATCCACCACTCCAGAAATCCTTTAGCCGCGAGATGGGTAGGTTCGAAGGCTATCAGCTCAAATTGGGCAAAGCCTTGATATTGTTCTTGCTGGATCTTGGCTTCCCTTGCCTTGAAAGTTCGACCAGATGTGATGGCGCTCTCAGTTTGGAACAAAGGTTCAGGAATCAGTTGGCATAAGCCAAACTGCCTCGAAACGAAGTTTGGTTGGTAGGCAAAGAGAAGGATTTGGTTCTTAGCTGGGGTTATCCTTGAAGAGATGAGTCTAGGAAGCAAGAAAGCTCTCCATAGATCTTGGATCTCCTTGCTCTTGATGGCTTCTGAGAGAGCCATGGTGAACCAAGAAGGTCCATGAGCCCTCGAAGCAAAAGGCGCCATGCTCTCTTCGAACTTATGCCTTTTTGAGAGTATCATGATGTACTTCGAGAATTGAACCTTGAAGTCATCCTTGTCATCATTAGGAGTTAGTCTTCGAAGCCTAGTGCCTTCGACTATCCTATCACTTATTTCCGAATCTTGCTCATCTATGGTGTTGGCGGTTGATAAAGAAGGTTCGAACATGGCATTTAGCCATAGTTGAAGTAACCAAAATGGGCCAGCTAATAGAATGTTTTTGGGGGTGTGGGATTTGAGGCTCGAAACAGCTGACCTCAGGCTCTCATAGAGGTCAACTAAGAGTAATTCACTTAGGCACACTTTGCGATTTTCGTGTAAATCCCTAGCTAGAGGAATGAACCTACTAGCTACCTGCAGGGATCTACTGCAGAAGACGTACCTAGACAGCCACAGGGTCAAGAAAGCAATGTGCTCTATGTCAGACACATTGTCCCCTTCAGCATGATAATGGCTGATAAATTTGGAAAAGCTGGCTAACTTGACTTCGAAGTTAATTATGCTTGAGTGCTCTTCATTGTCAGGAACATAAGTTTCTCCCACTGGCGACAGCCCAGTAATGGCCGCTATATCGAAGAAGGTTGGGGTAATCATTCCACCTGGGAGATGGAAAGTGTTGTAGGTACTATCCCAGAAATAAAGGGATGCAAACAGCAGAGGATGGCTATAGGTGAATCCAGGTTTCGATAGCTTAATGAGGTTATAAATGCCTAATTCTTCCCATTGCTGGGATTTTTTGGCTTCTACTTTCGTGAACTAGTTTTGATAGGCAATATCAGAAGTAGGGCAAGATCTAAATAGCTTAAAATTGCTTTTTACATAGTCCAAAACAAATGGGTCCTTGGGAGGATCAGTTGGGGTTTCTACGGTATTCGAACTAAGAGATTCTACTGCCCTAGGGGCATCCATTTTGTTGAATAAGGGTTTGAAGCTATAACATATGGGAAAAATTGTCCTGGTGTCCTTTAGTATTTCAAAAACTGTAAGAGGGCCATTTAAGGCTAACCTCTTACCGGCAACATGGGTAGGGATGAGTACCTGTGATGCGTACAGCATTTCTTTTTCTTTGGAAATCATTTGAGGAGCAAGAGCAGATTGGCCTTGAATGGTGACGATTTTACTCTCCATGGTTGCTCCTGTAGTTTTTCCTTTCTTCTTGGAGAATTTCTTGAGTTGGGATGAGGTGGAAGAAGACATTTTTGTTGTTTGAGAGCTTAGATTGTTTTATGAGAGAAGAAGAGTAAAAATCCAGAGTATGAAAGATTTAGAGTGTAAAAAAAAAGAAAAAGGAAGATTAAGTTGATGTTTTATAATGAGAAGATTAAGCATCCACCGAGTAAAAGTGTGATACGTGGAGATCATGGGTTGGTGTGATGAAGAGGTGGCGAGAAGTTGATATAGGTAATAAGCGTGATTTAAAAATAATCATTACTTATAACTGCACCACGCTGTGAAGTGACTCTGGGCGGTTAAGGAACCCAAAAGGTGCTATAATTGATGTGACTGGAGTCAAATGCATTAAATGTTATGATGATTCGAAAATCCTATCAAAATCTTGTGTAAATCTTTAAAATAGGTATTTCTCAAAGAGATCGAAATACATATTTTAAAGGGGCAATTTGTTGGCTGAAGATTTTGACAATGTTATTTAGAATTCAAAAGAGTTAAAAGTTCTGATCGAAATGGAATTAAACGCCATATTTCGAAGTTGCAGAAGCAGTGTTTCGAATAAATGTGTCAAAGCTTGAAGCTTCGAACGGTGATTTTGGGAACATATCCAAAGGGGTCTCGAAACAACAGCGAGGCTAGGTTTGGGAAGAGCGTTCGAAACGGAGAAACACCAAAGCATTTAAAATTCAAATGGAAGCGGGACTTTCAAAGTTTGAAAGTTATGTGTTGGAGCATTTGGGGACACGTGGAAAGATGAAAGAAGCATTGTCTTGCATGTTCGAAACGTGGCATGATCCTATAGCGAGACCGTTAGGGTCGAATTAGTATAAATAGAAGTCTTAGTATTAGGATTTCAGTGTGTCATATCTGTTATACAAAATACTCAATAACATTCAAACTACCACATGGCAAGGGAAACGAATGCAAGAGAAATGTATGTATGATAGCACCATGTATTTCTAACTTAATGAAAGCCTTTTTACCATTTCCAGTACTTTCCTCTTTTCTTTTTGTCGAATAACATTTGCAAGTTTCTTTATTTACTGTCTTTTCATTTCAAAGTCTTTTCCTCAAAGTTCTACGTTTTAATGCTTTCTTTATGTTTCGAGCACTTTATATTTCAGAGAACTGTTACACTTTCAATACCTTTACTTTCAAGTATTGTTTTTCAAGCGCATACTTTTACTTAAAATCATTTATAGATTTCTTGCATTAAACGCTTTCCTCACATTTTAAACTTCTACATTCCAGAAACCTTTTATGTTAAATGTTTTGCAAATCGAAACCATTTACTTCATTTTTCATACAGTTTTATATGTCTCTTCAATCAGCATTACAATTAGCATTTATTCCTATAACTTAGTTTTCATATACATTTTGACCACATTTTTAAACTCTTAGAGAGAGGGATCGAAATAAACCAAACACTTGTACAATAGCAACCATGAATAATTGTTCGATTGTGAGAGTAACCTTAATATCCAAGGAGTCCTAGGATCAATCTAGTCGATCCTGTGAGTTACCAGAGAGATTGAATAGCGTTCATAAAGATTATTCGATAGTTTGGAAGACTAGCGGTTGTTTACCAGAAATCACTGGAAACACATATGTGTTGTCGCTCACGGGTTTATTTTCAAAGAATCAAAGGAAAATTGTGTTTGGAATACTTTTAAATTATCGAATCGTCGCAAGGCATTTGTTGATTTTTAATTTTCTTAACCACAATTTACTGAAAGATTGACGATTGTTCTCAGAGCATGTTTGTTTGGACAAGATGTGAAGATTAAGACTATCATTTAAAACAATCATGATTTTGGATTCAAGTTGACCAAATGAATTACATTCTTAAACATTTATTTTGTTTAGGAATTAGAGTACAAGGTGGATGTTTGTTTGAAATATACTTACAAAGTCACTTGTGATTATTTGGAATTCAAGTTACCAGATTGAAGTATTTCATTTCAAATGTTCTGATAGGGAATTTCAAAAATTCAATTAGAATACAAAAATTTGTATAGAATCCTATCATACCAAATTTGTTCAGCTCTTTGTATTATTGCATTGTAAATAAAATTACAATTTTTTGTTTGTTTACAAAGAATCACAAGTTTCTTGTTTACAAAGAGAAATTACAAATTGTTGTTTACAAAGAATTTCAAGTTTACAAAGAGAAGTTTCTTCTTCAAGTCTTCATCTTCAAGTAAGCCATCCAACCTTCGTTTGCATCCAAGCCTCGCTCGCCAATCACGAAACAAGAAAAGAAAAAGTTAGCAAGCATATGAGAAAATTCCAGAACTGTTTGTTTAGAACAAATTTTATCTAATCATTAGGGTTTGCGTTTTGGAATCAGAAATCAACAGGTTTTTTCTTTTAATCACAATCCACCTCTTCCTATTTCACAAATCACAAAACCTGGATTTTGGTTCACAAAAAAGGGAAAAAAGAAGTTTACAAAGGCAGGGTCAAACTGCAAACAAATAGCAGACAACAAGCAAGCTGTCAAATACAGCATAAACCTGCAATAAATGCACAAGCCAACAAGCTATTCCAACAGTCCAAACAAGCAGTAAAATAAATCCAAATAGCAGATAGTAAGCAAGTTGTCCAATACAACATAAACCTGCAACAAATGCACAAAACAACAAAGCTACTGCAGCACAACAAACAGCAATCCAAACTGCAGCAGGAAAAGCAGAACAAACATTGCAGAAGAAAAGTCAATGCAATAAACAAGAGCTGTAAATAGCAGGCAGCAACACATGTATAAGGTAGCAACAAGTAAAATAATGCAAGCTAACCATCAAATGGCTAAAACCCTAGACATCATCATTTTCCTAAATTAGCAAACCCTTCAGAATGTACTGAAATTCCAAATATGGCTTTGTTTCATGGAAATATGAAGAGAAAAGAGATAGGGTCAGGTAAATATCACCTAAGCATACAATAGTCCAATAGCCCTTCTACATCCTGCATCAAAACCTGTCTAAAGCAGGCCAAAACTTGCACCAAAATAGACATAACTTAACCTGTACTCTAAAACCCAAAGTCAGAAAACCAATTTTGTTCAAATTTGCCAAAACATTCCCTCCAATTCCCACTTCTCATCTGCTATAAACCAAAACAAAAACCAAAGTAGCAGAGGAGAGCAAGGCCATACAATATACACAAACCAAAATCAAACAGCAAAACCTGAAAATAGATATCAAACCAAGAACAAATAACTAGAAAAGAACAAAAAAATCACAACAGAAACTCAATTCACAGAAGGATTCACGCTTCATTTCCCATAAATATTCATCTTCATCTCCACTTAACCTTCAACCTCACTGCAGCCTACCATCAACACCAACAATGCACCAACAAAAATTAGGATTCAAAACTATGTTACCCACCTCTCTCATTGACCCATCGATACCCTTTGCAGAATCGTCAAAAAAATTGTAACGATTAGCTTCACTCTTTGCATCACAACTCCATACATTCCTCATCGTTTTCTGCACAACCGAAACCCCTCTACATCAAAAACGACGGTATTAATGTTTCATCATCAATTTAGAGAAATTTTCAACTGCAACTCAATAAAACAAGCACAGTAGAAGAAAATGGAAGAATGAAAGAAGAAGAAGAAGAAGAAGAAGAGTAAATAACATATTTGTACCTGATCTTTTGGATCCTCATCTTTAATCTCCTCTTTTCAGTTTCGCAATCGCAACCGAGGCAAACCCTAGTCTCGCAGGTAAATCTGAAAAATTCATCTCTTTCGTTGTTTCTTTATACAATGTTATAGCTCATAGTCCAAGGAACAAAACCCTTATGCTCACTAATAAGATTGATGGAGGTGAAAAATTTAATTTGAATTTAAAGCAAGTTAGGTTTTTCTAGTTTTGGCCGAATGAAGAATTTCATAGAGAAGTTGATAGAGGTTTGAATCGACAAGGTTGAGACAAGTCCGTTCATGGTGGTAAGAGGTAGGTTTTTTTTATGAGGCAGAAAATTGAAGAAGATAACAGAGAACGCTTGAAAATTGTTAACGTAAAAAAAAAAGAGGAAGTTTGGAAAAGGAGAAAAGACTGAGAGATGAGAGACAATTTCGTTGGTTTTAAGCTTTAGTTAGACTTCTATTAAGATTAATTATTGATTAGTTAGGATAAAGTGATTAATGTTAACTTTTACCCTTCCCTAATACAAATGCCCAGCGGCGCCTCTATCATACTGCTAGGGTTTCAAACCCTTTCCTTCCCTTCCAAAACCGGGTCAGGCCTTTTGGGCCTGTTGGCCCAACCTTTCAGCCGTTTCCCTTATTTACTATTTGAATCATCACAATAACAAATGGAACAGATAGTGTAGTGGTTGGAGCATTGGTTTGCAAGTGTGGTATCCTGAGTTCGAGTCCCAGGGGGGCGATTTCGTTTCTTTTCTTTCCATTTTATTTCTAAACACATACTTTTCTTCTTTTTTACAAATAACTTTGGGCTTTACAAATTTTTTTTCTGGCTATCCTGATTTCTTCCTCAAACACCCATAGTCAATTTAACACCACCATTTTACTTTGTTTTGTTAGTTTTGATTTTATTTGTTTTTACTAATTTAATAATTCATGAAATTTTTGTTAGATATATTTCTCATTTAGCTTAGTTCTAATTTTTAATTTAGGGAAATTTTGTAATTAATTTTATTAATTAACCATTTTTTTAGTCTTAATTTGTTGGTTTAATTTCTAAATAACAAAAAAAACTTTAAAAGACAAAAATAAATGCATTTTGATTTAATTCTTTAGTTAATTGATAGAATAGATTTTCCCATTTTTCTTTTCAAACTTTTCCAACAAAACAACAAGAATTTTATTTCTATACTTTGTTAATTAATTTTTATTTTCATAGACTATTATACCTTTAATTAATCATTCAAATTCGATTTGGTTGCATTGTTTGCTATTTGGACTTGTTAATCACATTCAACTCATCCCCATTTGTAAAGAATTGTACCCCCATTCCCGAAAGCTCTATAATAGCGTAGAATTTCCATTTCCGCAGTTTACTGTTTTCTTTATACTGTATAGTAATTAGGCGTGTATGGCAAGATTCAAAAACATTTGCTAGATAACCTAATTTTCAACAAAATTAACTTGAAACAAACACACCTTTCACACGTACACCTCTAGGGTAACCTCGCTCGTTGCCTCAGAAACACAGTCATGTCCCTCGAATATGGGATGTTTTAGCAAAGACCCTTCGATAAAAGATCGTAGTCCCTCGATGTTTCCTTCGATAAAACGATCTAGTCCCTTACGAAAATTGCTAAAGCGTCTCATAAGTTGCTTTCGATGACTGTGTGATTGACCCGCACCTGTCCCTTCACATCCAACGATAGGGCTTCTTACCAAATCAATGGTAAGATAGCAACATCTAAAGGAGGAAGAAAATAACATTTAAGACCTTTCGAGTAGGTAGATTCGCTCCTAGTTGCTCGCTTGCTCACGACAAAAACATTTTTAAACTGACACTTTCATCTCAAAACATTTTCAAAAAGATAACATTTTGTATACGTTCTTTTTGAGACGATGTGATATGGTGGAAGAACCGACTATTTGAAATGATGGTTTGCATTTTGCGTTTTGTGTTCGCAAAATGTCGCGGTAAGTAAAAGAGTCGCCACCGACTTTTATTTCATCCAATTGGAAAGGAAAAAAGTACAGAAAAAATCCTTTTTCGAGATTTTGAGTATGGGGTTAGATTATAGAAAGGGAAGGTATTAGCACGCTTTCTATCCATGGTTCTCCATGGGCTCTTAGGTACTTGCTCATCTTTTTAAAATTGCTTGTGTATGTGCTTTGTTTTTTAGAAGAGTTTTAACTTCGTGATAACCCTTGTATCAGTCCTTAAAGGTGTGACGAAGTTGTTTTGAAAATTGTTTTGAAATGTGTAAGTGTGAAATGTTTTGATTTGAGAAAGTACCTACTAGCATCTACCTACTCAAAAAAAGATCGTTTCTATTCTTGTTTCCTTAAGACAGCGCTATCCTACTATTGAGAAATAGGTAGCTCCGTCGTTGGAGTTGTAAGGGTCAGTTCGAAAGGGACGTACGATCACTAAAGCAATGTTAGGACACTTTAGTAATAACCCTAGAGTCTTAAGATCATATTCAAGGCAACATTTCCGAGGCAATCTTTCTGAGGCAACATTCCAAGGCAACATCCGAACGGGACATTTGATCTCTTTTAGACAGAAGGGCAACCACTAAGACACCCTATACTTAATGATCGTTTACTGAAGGCAACCGAAGTGAGAGCATACCCTAAGAGTGATATGTGAGAGTGATTTGTTTCAGTTATTTATCTTTGCACATTAGGGTTTTCTAACTATATTAAATTATCATGCAATCTTGTCTTATAATCCTATTAACATACATCTAGACAATTAAATATTTGTAGAAATTAAGATGCGAGAAAGTAAATCTACGCTATTACAAGGCTTCGGGGAGGGGAATGAATTACATAGCCAAAAACCCGGGAAAAAATAAAAACCCTAGATTAAACTATTACAAACCATGCACAGTTACAACAATATTGACAAAAAAATAAATAATATGCGCGTGGTGAATCGAATACGAGATAATTAGGGTTTTGACCCTTGCCTAAACTTAATTGCGATTAATTAAGAAAAAAAAATTGTTTTGTTTTGTTATTTGAGAAAATAATGAAACAATTGAATTAAAAAGAAAATCCTAAGTTCTAATTAAATTTAAGAAAAATAAATTAATTTATTCAAAAAAACTATTTTTGTATTTTTTGTTTGAAAAAGAAAAGAATTAAACCAAGAACTAAAACCTAATTTTCTAATTAGTTTTAATAAAAAAACAAGTTAAAATTTCCCTAAATTAAATTAAACTAATTAATTGAAAATTAAATTTGATAAAAAAAACTAGTTCTAATTTTTGTGAACTCTTGATTTTATGATTTTATAAAAAAATTGATTAATGGTGTTAATTAAAATAATTAAAGGAAATATTAAAAGAATTAAAAAAAGGAAGAAATAAGAAAAAAGAGATGGGTCTGCATTAGCAATTGGGGGGTGTTGTTTGAGATTTGAGCCAAAAAAAAATCCTGGCCTTTTTGACTTTGCCCAATCCCATGTACACGCTTGACTGAGGCGCATGGTGGTCCTCCAATGATGGCATGTTGATCTGAGGCGTTGATGAATTGGGTGGCCAGATCCTGAGGGTGTAAGTTGAACTCCTTGATTGGCTATGCATTGGATTACCTATGGAAAAATATTAGGAATAAAGGTTGGGACCTGGGAATCGAACCAAGGTCCTTTGCACTTTCCCCATGCATGCTTACCAACTGAGCCAAGTGTTTTGTTTGTATATACAATAAGACATAAATATTATATAATGAAAACACTAAATCCTGGAAAAAAACGCGCTAAATTTAAATGGCCCAACCAAAGGATGACACGCATCATCGTCTACCTCCCATTTGTGGTTTTAGGTAAACAAAATTTTACCTACAGACACTGGCTGTAGGTATATCCATGTCCATCTCCAAAATAGCGTGCGCTCAAGATAAATGGCCATGGCTGGTACCATTCTACTCGTTTCATCCTCACAAGTCTCATGGTACCAGAATCAATACTCAATTTTGCCTACCCTACAAAGCCCTAATCAAGAATATAAAACCCTAGATATGGCAACTTCCTATATAGGCGTTAGAAATATAATTAAATGGTACCAAACATTTGCAAACTCAATGACAAACACGAATATATCATCAAAATATGCAATGGTTGAGTAAATTAATGAAACCGAATTTGAATTTGGAAGCAAGTCGTGATACCTATATCTCACAATTCCAGGCGTGAGAGAGCTTGCAAATGGGTGGAATTCCTTCTGGATATGTCCAAGAACCTATTAGTGTCGTGAGAATGGTATGAATTGGCCTCTAACGTGGAGATTGAATCACCACTTTTCTTGCAATTTTTTTAGTTTTGTTTCACCTCTGCACGACTGCTTCTCACCTCCTCATTCCTTGGTCTTCTTCTGTATATGTAATATAAACTATTAGGTCAACAAAAACGACCTCAATCTTGCTCATCATGGAGATTTGATTTTATCTTTCAATGCATATGATTCCCTTCCAGTTTTTCTCAAATCCAATCTTTTTCTAACCAAATTGACTTTGCATGAGTTGATCTTCAATTGACAGCATATGAGATCTTTTTTAAATGCAAAAATCATCCCTAAAATACAATATATGATTTATTAGGATTTATTTGATATTATTTGAATTTTAAATGAATAAAAATCAAAGTAAATTAAATAAATGTATAAATAAAGCATGGAGGGTCCCATAGGTCGTGGGCCACATTAGGAATGAGATGAAAGCATAAAAAGTTGGGCCCATTTAGCAAAAGATGCAAATTTGAGCATATTTGACTTATGGTGTCCTCTAAGCAACCCTTTTGGTCTCATTGCAATTGAGTCTTCCCTGTTCATGTATGAAGCCTTGACCCAAAAGGTGTTTTTGTTTACTTTTCAAAATGACCTATAATGTCCAAATTCATATCTTCTTCTGAGTGCATATTTTGAACATGGGAGCTGAAGATGAATTGTAGGGAATTGCATCCTCTTCATATTGAGATTTGGATGGGCCATTTTTGATAAAGTATGATAAATTTATG